ATTAGCCACTATACAACCCGTCGACATGTTTCCACAAACACCCCACATCGAATGGGTCGTTACAATGGAACGTTAACACCTTTACTTCGTTTGTTTCACCTTGTTATGTTGTATTTCGTTTGTTTGTTTGGAAATGAACATAAAATGTTTGAGAGCTTGACGTGTGGATATTAGGCGTCTGTTCGCTATTTTGTTTAACTTACTTATCTGAGCACTGAAGTCCCATTAATTTGCTATCCCACACCATTTCTATCAGCAAATATTACATGAAATACTAATTTATAGGCTTTTATTGCATATGTGATATGTCTGAAACGGAGGGTAAGGTGAGTCTGCCTAGCTTTAATTAGTTACTTTCGTGGATGGTATCAGTTTTAGGTTATTACTTGCAAGGCAGCCGTGGCATGGGAGGCCAAAGCTCCTCTGAAAATCGAAACGGTTGAAGTAGCTCCACCGCAAGCTCATGAAGTTCGCATAAAAGTGAGTTCTTTATTGTCTCGCTTTACACTCATATTTTTCTTATGCATATCCATGCTTCTTTTTTGTTGAGATTCTTTACACTGCACTATGTCATACTGACACTTACACGCTTGACGGGCATGATCCTGAAGGGCTATTTCCTGTTATTCTCGGCCATGAGGGTGCTGGCGTTGTAGAGAGCGTTGGTGAAGGCGTCACAGAGTTCAAGCCAGGTAAACAGCAGCTATAAATACATCGATAATGTATCTGAGCTTTCTCAATGCTCATTTTTATATGCCTTAAGATTTTTGATCACAGGGTGTGTATTGTTATTCGTTGACCGCACGGACTGCAGATTATTGCGGAGCACACGCCGCGTGATGAAACGCTTGCCCAGTACAAAACCATCATTGTACAAGTCCTGCTTCCGCAACGTTTTAGTTTCGCCGCGCGCCGTCCGCGCGTTTGAGCAGTCCGTGCGCTCAACGAATCAACGATATGTATTTTAGTGAAGTGGTAAGTTACGAATAAAACGCATGTTTAAATGTCAGCGGACCACTTTTTTTTCAATAGTTTCTAAAGCCATGATTGAGTTTCAAATTACCATCGCGCTGCTTCGTTCTCTTGAGCTTGGCTATTTGTCACTGTTGATTTTCTGTCATTGTTTCTGGTTCAGTTTCATCCTTGCAGGAGATCATGTTATACCGCTGTACGTTCCACAATGCAAGGAGTGCGAGTATTGCAAGAACCCCAAAACGAATTTATGCCAAAAAATTCGGTAAGTTTCAGAAAGTACCAATCGAGTCTCAAGGCACCGTCCACCCTGAATTAGGTCGTGCTTCTGACATCTCACGAGATTAGAGCCTGCCATCAAACCAGTGCCAAAGTCGCGGGTTAACTCGCTCCGGGAGCGAGGAAGTTGCTCCGCAAAAACGAAGGGGCACGAGGACCCCATGTCATCACCACCCCTTGCAATAATGCCCTCTCATTTGTGCCTGCCCAACCAGTCACCACTCACGCCGACGACCCGGGGTCTTGATGAGGATTATGGGAATTTTTGCGGATTCTCGACTTCATACTTGGAACCAGGGACATGAGAAGCTCCGGAACGACAAAAACATGAAAGTCGAGAATCCCAGTGGACGGTGCCTTCAATGGGTGCGGCTGAATGTTCTGTCTGGTGCTCAGAATTTCTTTCAACCATATTATCTTTTAGTATACCTCAAGGTAATGGGACCATGCCAAACGGTACGAAGCGGTTCAAGTGCCAAGGAAAGGAACTTCACCATTTTATGGGATGCTCTACTTTCTCGGAATACACTGTGGTTGCTGATATATCGCTGTGCAAGGTGAGTTTCATTTTTGGTTTGCTGCCTGTTCCTATCACTTTATGCGGTCTGTCATCGTTTGATGACGCCATCAAAATGGTCCGGGTTTGTTCTTATCGGCAGAAAAGTTCTTATACTTGTATCCAGTTGATAAAAGTCTCATCTAGATCAATCCCGATGCACCTTTGGATAAAGTCTGCTTACTGGGATGTGGGATTTCTACGGGATATGGTGCCGTGATTAATACTTGCAAGGTAAAAATCCTTTATCAGCATGTCTCTTTCATCATCATTGTGCTAACTTCAAGGTGGAACCAGGTAGCACAGTCGCTGTGTGGGGTCTTGGAGCTGTTGGCCTCGCCGTGATTATGGGCGCTAAAGCTGTTGGAGCCAAGAGAATTGTGGGCATCGACATTGTAGAAAGCAAGTATGATAAGGGTAAGCAGTAATTATTTATCTATTTCTTATTTAGTAAGCGCTATTTCAACACCTAATTGTATGGTTTTGAGTGTTTTCGCTTTACAGCTCGTCAGTTCGGCGCAACTGAATGTGTTAACCCAAAATCTGTGCCCGAGGGGCAATCCATCCAAGCCTGGCTCGTTGAGAAGTTCGATGGCGGTTTTGATTACACATTTGAATGCATTGGCAGTGTGCAGACGATGGTGAATTTCGCAGCTAGAAATTTCTTAGATTTTTCAAGTTGCTAAAGCCTAAAGTTGCTGAAACGTCATTTACGCTTCCCCTGAATCTTATATCACCCTTATAATTATATCTAGCCATTTGCTTACTTCTCTATCATCTGCAAAATTTTCATTGCAGCGTCAAGCTCTTGAAGCCGCACATAAAGGATGGGGAGTGTCTTGCATTATTGGAGTGGCAGGTGCTGGTCAAGAGATATCAACGCGTCCTTTCCAGCTAGTTACTGGAAGAACTTGGAAAGGATCTGCTTTTGGAGGTGCAGCTGCTTTTTTTGTTATCTAAGCGCACAAGTATCGTTAATATCTCTGCGTAATATTTGAAGCGTTTTCCTCGATCATGAGTAATGTTCCAGTGACTCAGGAATTGAAGTCTCTTATGATAAAATGATTGAACGTCGTGATCAATGTGATCAATGCTCTTTTTTCTAGTCGTGGGCCTAAAATTGTGACTCAGAGAGTCTGCTTTGCAAAATCTTGAGACCTTCTTAAATTTTTTTTT